TCGGAAACAGGACGCCGAAAATGTGAGCCTTGGGACCGGGGGACTTCAAAAAATGCCCAGTTGTTATGTAAAGGATTTCGAGTTGGAATATATGACAGTTATTATCGTTTTTTATTCGGCACGTAACTTCAACATTCAACTTTCATCAGCAGTGTTCAACTTCCGCTGCTCGGCCTGATCGGCGCATCCCAAAAGAGTCGGCCCCTATTCGTAAGAGTGATGGAGGACTCATTTACCGTGATTGAATGACTGGTGGGATGGCCGCAAGCGGCGAGTCACAAACCAAAAATATTTTCAACAATACGCGCAGCTCACTCGGGCCGCGCTTCGCGCGGGCCCTCGCTCGCTGCCATTTTAATTTTAATTTACGAAAGTAGAATGGGGAGACCGCCTCGGGTGTGGACTGCCAAGATTTAGATCAAGCAAAGGGCGTGTTTTACCCGGTAAGAACCGTCTATTCACAATCACCGTATCAACGCCAATGCACCTGATTTGGAAACTACGAAATGAGAGGAAATTTGAAACACATACTCACGCATCTGAGGCTGAGATACATAACCGCTGGGTAGCGATGATGAACCTGACCCTGAAAAGAGATCAACTGCTCACAAATCGATTGCTGGGTTATGAGCCATGGTGACGATCCTATCGTGTATATCTTATTTTTCCGGATTTGGTGATGCCGGTGATCACTTCCTAATCGGGACAGCAGTGACTTTTTCCACCTCTGACGGTGTAAAGCCATTATGCAGCACTGTGCAGCACTTGCATAGGTACATCCTGTTCCGCAATGCGCTCAAAAGTGCTGCATCGTGCTCATAGATAGGCACAGGCCCCAGCTTCCTCATGCGACGCAACGTCATAGCAGCCTCAAGGATGTCGCGCATGATTGGACTGGTGAGCAGGTTGTTCCGGACAGCCAGTCATTGGGACTGCCCACCAACTCCGTTATATTCCCTCCTTGCGTGCGACCCGCAGGTTCGTTGGACGTAGCAATATTGACATTTTTGCGAACCGAAGACGAGTCGGAGTACTACGAAGAGACTCAGATATAGTGCGTTTCGCGGTCAAAATCAGGACGATCTGAGTTCACTTTGCTTAAGGCGTCCCACGGCCATAAATGCGACGTAAACGCATGGTAAAGTGCGTACAGGACCCTTCTAGTTTGGTTCCCCACTTCTGGCTCGCCACTTCGCGTCTCAATCGTCGACTCGACCCGTGGTATAACAAAAATACGCCCTACTCCGTGCGCATGTTATACGCGATTTCATTCCCTACACAGTGAGCCATCGCATGTGTTTTCTGTAATCTGCTCGTGGGTTGAGGCCATTCCATTGACAGGCTCAGTGCTGCGCTGGCGATACGTAGGGCCTAAACTCCTAGGATCTCATTGGAGGAGGTACGAGACGGGTACTCGATATTCTCACTATATCTTGGGGATCTATCGATTCGGCGTCTAGTGCTCTGCGGGCATCTCATTTTAGAACGCCACCGATAACCTCGTTCAACAGGCGTGCATTCTGGTTTGGATATATGCGGATAGAATGTCCAGTATATGGCCTCCATGTCCAATCACAAGGCGAAAAATAATCCCGCGATACTTGAACATAGCCGGCCAGAACTTCCAGGAATCCAAAATCTTCCCCATTGGATGCCGAGAGATTTTTTGAAAAAAATCCTTCACTAGCCGCAAAAGCCGCCTTTTCGGCGCAGGAGGTCCGATCCGTTTGGCAGACACAATGGGTGACCCATGATGGCGGAGTTGGAGAGAACGCCCGAAATCGAGCTCCAAACGCACGGTAAAGTACGTACAGGACCCTTCCCGTTTGGTTCACCACTTCTGGCTCGCCACTTCGCGTCTCAGTCGTCGGCTCTACCCGTGGTGTAACAAAAATACGCCGTACTCCGTGCGCGGTTATGCGCGATTTCATGCTCTACACAGTGGGCCATCGCATGTGTTTTCTGTAATCTGCTCGTGGGTTGCCATTCCATTGACAGGCTCAATGCTCCGCTGACGATACGTAAGGCCTAAGCTCCGACGCCAACTAGGATCTCATGGGAGGAGGTACGAGACGGGTACTCAATATTTTCGCTATATCTTGGAGATCTATCGATTAGGCGTCTAGTGCTCTGCGGGAATCTCATTCTAGAACGCCACGGATAACCTCCCTCGTTCGACAGGGCGTGCGTTCTGTGGATTCCGGTTTGGATGTATGTGGACAAAATGTCCAGTATATGGGCTCCATGTCCAATCACAAGGCGAAAAAAAATCCCGCGATGCTTGAACCATAGGCATACAGAACTTCCAGGAATCCAAGATCTTCCCCACTGGATGGCGAGCGATTTTTTTGAAAAAAAATCCTTCCCGGGCCGCAAAAGCCGCCTTCTCGGCGCAGGAGGTCCGATCCGTTTGGCAGACAGAATGGGTGACCCATGATAGCGGAGTTGGAGACATCCGAAATCGGGCTCCAGCCCGTATGCACCCCTCTTCGTTCAGCTGTCTGTGGGTCTCTCATTCCCCTACCAGCAGTTTACCAGCATGCAGAAACATCATCGTGAGTGTTTCGATGCTGCGGATACCGCGGCGTATAAATGGCGACTATTTTTCCGTCTCGGTGTCTCGCTGACATTGGCAACAACTCCCCTCGACTCTCATAAACCAACTCACATCTGCTACCTCTCATCCCACAATGTCTGGCAACCGTCCTCGGCCCCCTCGCACCCCAGCCCCCATTGCTCAGCCCCAGCCTGGTCGTCCCTTCGCTGGTGGCAACCTCTCCCCTGACTCTGCAAAGTACGATTTTTTTGATTCTCGCTACCGTCTCGTGTTCTAATGATCACGTTCTAGCGGATTTGGAGGGAATTTCGGGTACGATTCTCACTCTCCTTACTGTCACATATTCTAATGGCCATGTCGTAGCGGAGCACAATTCGGGTACAGTCTCACTCTCATTGGTGTCCCGCGCACTAAAGTCAACGTTTCAGCGAACAACGAGCGACATTTAACCAGTCGAAGCAAAGTAGCCAGCGCCAAGATAGCTCGTACAACTCCACGACTCGTCGAGAAGATGTCAAGCAAAGTTTCGAAAGTTCCCGTCAAGCGATTGAGTAAGTTTTCCGTCTCTCTGTTTCCTTCGAAACTGCTCATTAACCATACCTATCGCACAGAGAATACCGCACCCGTACTAGCACGAAGCTGACTCTGGCCGACTGCCAACTTGACTTGAAGCTCTCGATACTCACAATAACGACTGAAGTCGAATTGAGTTCCAACACCCTGGATCTCGACGACTACGTCGGGAATATCAGTGGAGAACTCGTCTGGGCTAATGGTGCTGATAAATTCACCGACTCGTGCGAGAGTATCCAGCTTCAAGGGACAGTTCTCCGCGCCTCGTGCCCCCGCAGCAGAGACGAGTTCGTTCAAGCCGAGTTGGACTTGAACGAGCACATCGCTTACAACTCGATTCGCCGCTGCTTTGTGGCCATCGTTCCCGACGAAGCGTTTACCGAGTTGATGTCGTCGGCGAACTGGATGAACTTCACCGTTATCACCCGGCCCGACATGCGCAGCTTCCTCGGCAATCCCGCATTCCAGAACGCTATCAGGAGCGTCGCGCAGCGCGCGGTGGACGAGGTCATGACTCAGATGAAGACGGTCATGATGCTTGCGGTCGAGGAGGCGGTGTCCATAGTCAGCGCCAGGTCCGAGGAGTATGTCCAGGACGAGATGGAGACTCTCATCAAGATGGCCACCAAGAGCGCCGCCTACAGTGGTCTGGGACAGCTGAAGATGATGCAACTGGAGCAGAGGCGTGCCTTCAATACCTTCGCTCCGCACATCTCAGCCCCCACCATTTACGAGGAGGAGCCTCCCCGCACCGGACGCTGATCGGATGCGATGCATATTACTTCCCTTCGCTGTACCGGTCCGCGTTCTTTCCCTACGACTACACTTTGCGGTTCCCATACTAGCTACTTACATACTCTTCATGTGATCTTTCGAAAGGCTGAGCCTCATTTCTTTTCAATCCGACGAAACCCGCTTCCTTGAGCAAGGGTTGAGCAATGAGAGACACATTCTGACTGAGTCTATGCTCGGCGCAACATCCACCGCCGAAACCTCCGAGGTCTCCCAGGAGTCAATTCCGCGCAAAGCACAGCGCACACAGGTCCCATACGTTCCGTGAGAGAGGAGCTTGAAACACTTGAGCAATGATTGCACGAAGTAACTTACCTGCTCCGAGTCATTCTTACATCCACGGTCGGAATCCTGCCGTCAAGGACTAGTAGATCAATGTATGTACATCAACCCACATTGGCATTGGTGGTGATGGGGAGTCGGAGGTTCGAATCCTCCCGACGCGACGCGGATTTTTAAAAAAAAAGATCGTAGACGGCCGGCAAAATTTGTAGCTGTATGAATCAATTGTGGGTGTTCTCGGATAAAGGGCAATGAAATCGGCGTATGTAAGAGGTTGGTTGAAAGGATGGTGAGCACAAGTATTATTAACTTCGCATCGTTTTTACTGTGTAGATATTACTTTAGCCTCGCAGCAGCCTTGCAGGGAGAAGCTAACCGAATTAAAATAGATGACTCTAACGATTGCACCAGCAGGACGAAACGAAAATCAGGCGTCTAATCGTTGAAATAAATCGTAGGTGAAAATGGATTGTCAGGGTCATCATCTGGCGGACGCGTTAGAATTTTCAAGCCGATTCAAGGTCAAGATTATAATATATTCACCCATCTTCGCGGCTACCGCATCGTCGGGCCATGTCAGAGTTGGAGTCGCAATACGCACACGCATCCCCTGCGCCGCTGCGAACCGCGCGAGCGTCGTTGCGTCTGGATCGTGATGCATCTCGAATCAGTGTGCCAGCGTCGTGGGCACTCCAGTCCGAAGCCGAGCTTCAATGCAAGGTTTCCAAGCCTTTTTTTTTTTTTTTAAAAATGCGCTGAATCTTCGATATAGTGAGGTCTGAAATATTGTTTTGAAGCCCTCGTGGTTGAATGTACATCACCCTAAACACCTGATTGTACCGAATATCCATAGTGATGGGGAGGCGGAGGTTCGAATCCTCCCGAGGGCATAGGGTAGTATCCTTTTCTTTTGCCAAAGGAAAAATTCAAGTGCAAGATCCAAGCCCTGCATATATTCGATATCGAAATATCGCCTTCAAGCCCTCGTGGATGAAGGTACATCACCCCACACTCTTGCGACCGGTCTTTTCAGCAGTGATGAGGAGGCGGAGGTTCGAATCCTCCCGAGGGCATTCGGTAGGAAAAATGTAATTTTTTTCTCAAAAAAAATATGTTCAAAATTTTGTATATCTTCAAGATCAAAATATTGCTTTCAAGCCCTCGTGGATGAATGTACATCATCCCACACACTTGCGACAGCGGTGATAGATGATCAACAGTAGTGATAGGGAGGCGGAGGTTCGAATCCTCCTGAGGACTTACACTGTTTATCGGAGCCTTTTTTTCAAAGAATACGTTCTGAGTCTTTGATATCGGCAGGTTCAAAATAATGCTTTCAAGCCCTCGTGGATGAAGGTACATCACCCCACCCTCTTACAGGCGGTCTTTCTACAGTGGTGATGAGGAGGCGGAGGTTCGAATCCTCCCGAGGGCATTCTGTGGGACCACTGAACTTTCTTTTTGAAGAAATATGTTCAAAATTTCGCATATATTCAAGATTGAAATATTGCTTTCAAGCCCTCGTGGATCAATGCACATCACCCCACACACTTGTGACAGCGTTGACAAGGAATAGTGATGGGGAGGCGGAGGTTCGAATCCTCCCGGGGGCTTTCGGCGAGACTATTTTTATTATTTTGCACTATCGTTGGCTTGTTCTTGTTCTTGTTCTTGGCTGCCAATTCCTCAACATCTTGGCTATGTTCGGCACTGTCCCTTTTAGGATCCGATGCCGCTCGGTGATCAATGGAATCGCGGAGATGTGCGCAGTCTAATGCCAGTCTATGGGAACTCCGCAGGTTGTTTATAAGGCTGACGGTGATTATCACTTGAATGGAGGACCGATGGCGCAAGGGAGGGCGTCAGTTTCCCGCTAACACGAATATCGCGGCAAGCCGGTTTTTGGTGCTTCCCAGTAAGTCAGAGTGCTCGCAAAGCCGTTGACGTTGTCGGCCTGTTTCGCGATGGAGACATTGGGGAAGGAAATCAATATTGGTGCTGCCGGCGGTCGTGACTTGATACATGTATGTAGATCGAGGCAGATTGTCGGTCGATCAACACCATGGAACGGTTTCGGACCACCGCAGTAATACATCCTCCTCCTCTTCTTCCTCCTCCTCCGCTAACTACGACAATTGCGGTGATTGCGGCAAGCCTAATCTGAATACGGAATCAAAATATTCAGGAATCAAAGGCGATGTTGTGCGGAACTGCGCCAGTATCAAACTGTATCATCCCCTTGACGACGGACGGCTCGCTACATTCCCGGATTAGATTTTAGATGAGTTTATCACAGCAGGGTGGGAGCCAAGTGGGAGCGATTGGATTATCACAGTGAGAAAACGTGGCACAAGTGCGCCGAGGTGGCGTCCATGAATGAGTCCTATCCCGCACAAATGTGGGCGTATTCCGCGGGGCCCGGGCATTACTCCGCGTTACAACCTAGGGCTGAGTCCGAGAGTACCGCAGATCCGCCGGAGTCTGACCGAGTACATGTTTCGGGTTCACCGACGGGGCGGTGAGTAGTTGCTGATGACACTAAGATATTGATGCCTGACTTGCACGGAGTGCGGCCTTGCCAGCGCGGCAAGGTGATGTGCCGAGAACTGCAGTAGCTCAGGCGTATATTGGGCGTATACTTTCTAGAAAGCCGTGGAGACAGGCCAAGGAGCCAAGCCAAGATGCCGAGTCCAAGACCGCTTGATTTTTATGTGCTGCAAATCCACCTGTATGTATGCGAGGAGAAACTGCGCGCAAGGAATCCAGCGAGGAAAATGGCCACAGCCCCCGATATAAGTGGTTTTTTTTAGCAGTAACCGCTGAGTAAAAGTAAGAGAGAAAGCCGGAATGGGGCTGTACATACTTGTTTGGTTCTGGAGCTGTCGCTGTATTCTGGGCACGGCTTAGGGAGGCTTCATGTCCTTTCTCAAACGCCACCATGTCGAGTCGGACGACGAAGAGCTGGAGGGTATCGACCCTGAATTGCGGCTGCGGACTGTGCGCACCGCACACTCGGCCATTGCAGAAAGTATTGTCGCAGACGACAGGAAGACTCGGCGCCGCCGCAAATCACGGTTCTGGAGGGGCAGGGCCGCCTCGGAGAAGCGCCAGCAGGAGTCGACTACCCCCTCGGATGTCCAGGGCGTACGCAGGAACGTCTATGTCAATACACCACTTGCGCCGCACGAGGTCGATTCCAGTGGTGATCCAAGGGTGCGGTATCCCAGGAATAAAGTCAGGACAACGAGTGAGTGTTTTCTGGGTCTTGTTGGGCATTTCCGGGGGTGGCCATGCGCGGACTATGTCCCCGGCCAGGAGCGGACTATGTGGCCGATATTCGGGGACAGGCTTTGGGCATGCGTGAATTTCGCTATGTCTGCCTACAGGGCCTAGGGAATGCAGTCTGTATAGTTCCATGGTCTTCTGTAGGCCTCTTCAGGGAATCTGCAGGCGGACTGTGTGGCTGCGATTGGGGACAGGCATTGGCCATACGTGACTTTCGCTGTGCGTTGGGCTGGAGGGGCATATGTCTGCCTACACAAGGCCTAGGGAATGCATCCTGTATAGTTTCATGCTAATTCACCAACAGAATACACCCTCCTCACATTCCTGCCCAAAAATCTCTTCGAGCAGTTCCGCCGCATCGCCAACCTCTTCTTCCTGACCCTTGTAGTTCTACAGCGTAGGTGGTTACTGTTTGTATACAAGCTCAACTTACAAGGTACGCAGTATTTCCCGTCTTTGGCGCCGCCTCGGGCGCCATCGCAGTCCTGCCCCTGGCCTTTATTCTGACCGTCACCGCGATTAAGGACGGCGTGGAAGACTACCGCCGCGGCTCGCTCGACGAGGAGGTAAACAACTCGCCCACCACCCGCCTCACCCTCCCGCGCAATCCCAACCAGCCCGCCGACCCGCGCTCCTTTTTCGAGAAGATGCTGGGGCTCAATCGGCCCGGAAGCGTGTCCAAGGGCGTGAGGAGGCTGCGTGCCCGCGACGCCTCCACGCCGTTCTCGCTCGACAACCAGTCGCGCGTGTCCGACGGCGCAGCGAGTGCGCACTCGTACCCACCGCCCGCCGTGCTCGACCCGTCCATCCATCCCACCAGCGCCGAGTGGGAGCGCACGCTGTGGAAGAAGCTCGACGTTGGGGACATTGTGCTGCTGCACGACAATGACCAGGTGCCCGCCGACATCGTCGTTCTCTCCACCTCGGACCCCGACGGCAACTGCTACCTGGAGACGAAGAACTTGGATGGGGAGACGAACTTGAAAGTCCGCAAGAGCCTCGGCGCGACGCGCGGCATGAGCGGCGCCGAGGAGGAGGTCCAGCGCGCGCGCTTCGTGCTCGACTCGGAGCCCCCCTCGCAGAACCTGTACCTGTACCACGGCGTGTTGCGCTACTGGGACGCGGCCACGCGCGAGGAGCGCCGCGAGCCCGTCAGCATCAACGAGCTGCTGCTCCGCGGCTGCGCGCTGCGCAACACGCAGTGGGTCATCGGCCTCGTCGTCTTCACCGGCGCGGACACCAAGATCATGCTCAACGGCGGGGACACGCCCAGCAAGCGCAGCAAGATCGAGCGCGAGACCAACTTCAACGTCGCGGTCAACTTTGGCGTGCTGCTGCTCATGTGTATCATCGCCGCCATCTTCAGCGGCCTGGACGACAACCGCACTGTCACGAGCCGCCACTTCTTCGAGGAAGGCTCGGATCCGACCAGCTCGTCCATCCTCAACGCCCTGGTCACCTTTGTGTCCTGCATCATCGCGTTCCAGAACATTGTGCCCATCTCGCTGTACATCTCCATCGAGATCGTCAAGACCATCCAGGCGTACTTTATCTCGCAGGACGTCGAGATGTACTACGAGGGGTACGACACGCCGTGCGTGCCCAAGACGTGGAACATTTCGGACGACCTCGGCCAGATCGAGTACGTGTTCAGCGACAAGACGGGCACGCTCACGCAGAACGTCATGGAGTTCCAGAAGTGCTCCGTCGACGGCATCGCGTACGGGGAGGGCGTCACGGAGGCGCAGCGCGGGGGTCGCGACGCGCGCGGGGAATGCGGACAGCATGGACCCGGGCGAGCTCGAGGCGAAGCTCGCGGGGCTCACGCAGCAGATGCTCGGCACGATGGAGCGCGGGTGGACGAACCGCTACCTGCAACCCGAGAAGCTCACGCTCGTGTCCCCCGCGCTCGCCACCGCGCTCGCGGACCCGCAGTCGGTGCAGCGGCCCGGGCTGCTCGCGTTCTTCCGCGCGCTGGCGCTGTGCCACGGGGTGCTGGCGGAGCGGCACACGGACGCCTCGGGGGTGCGGGTGGAGTACAAGGCGGAGAGCCCGGACGAGGCGGCGCTGGTGGCGGCCGCGCGCGACGTGGGGTTCCCGTTCGTGAACAAGGGGCGCGAGATGTTCGAGATCGAAGTACTAGGGGAGACGGAGCGGTACACCCTGCTGCGCGTGCTCGAGTTCAACTCGACGCGGAAGCGCATGAGCACGATATACCGCGCGCCGGACGGAAGGATTGTGATGTACTGCAAGGGCGCGGATAGTGTGATCTATGCGCGGCTAAGGGCGGACCACGATCCGGCGCTGAAGGACGCGACGCGGAGGGATATGGAGGCGTTTGCGAATAATGGGCTAAGGACACTGTGTATAGCGTGGCGGCTGCTGAGCCAGGATGAGTACATGAGGTGGGGGAAGGTGTACGACGCGGCGACGAATCAGGTGGAGGGGCGGGACGAGGCGATTGAGGCGGCATGTGAGGAGGTGGAGCGCGACCTGACGATTCTGGGAGCGACAGCGCTGGAGGACAAGCTGCAGGAGGGCGTACCGGAGGCGATTGAGATGCTGCACCGCGCGGGCATTAAACTGTGGATTCTTACTGGTACGTTTTCCCTTCTCTTCCCTTCCCTTTTTCGCGTTACTTTCTTTCTTCCTTTCGCTGACGCGAGGCGCATAGGGGACAAGCTGCAGACGGCCATCGAGATCGGGTACAGCTGCAACCTGCTCAAGAACGACATGGACCTCATGATCCTCTCCGCCGACTCGGCGGAGCAAACGCGCGCGCAGATCGAGGCGGGCCTGAACAAGATAGCTTCCGTGCACGGCCCGCCGTCGTTCGACCCGCGCCGCCGCGGCTTCGTGCCCGGCGCGCAGGCGGCGTTTGCGGTCGTGATCGACGGTGACACACTGACGCACGCGCTATCACCCGAGCTCAAGCCCATGTTCCTCAACCTCGGCACGCAGTGCGAGACGGTGGTGTGCTGCCGGGTGTCGCCCGCGCAGAAGGCGCTGACGGTTAAGCTTGTGAGTTTTTCTTCTTCTTTTGCCTTTGGCGTTTCTTCCGTGTTCCGTTACGTTCCTACATTTGCTTTTGGTCCCTCTTCTTGCTGCTCTCCTTCTGGCTTCGGCCCTTCTGTCTTTTGCCTTTCCTTCGACGGGGTTTGCTTACACATTGGTGGCAGGTCAAGGAGGGGCGCAACGCGATGACGCTGTCGATTGGGGACGGCGCGAATGACGTCGCCATGATCCAGGAGGCAAACATCGGGTGCGGCCTGTTTGGGCTCGAGGGCTCGCAGGCGGCCATGTCCGCCGACTATGCGTTTGGCCAGTT